CTCGACCCACTTTGGACAAGGCGACTTATTATAAACCTAATATTCTTCTTTAAGGTCCTTCACAAAATATCTTTCTCAGGTAACAGGGACATACAATTCGCACAGGAAGGTTCTTACGATCTGCGTAACCAAACTTCCACAGTGACAACTCATTCTTTTAAGTCAACACTCCGTGAAAACTTCTTCACAGTCATGTATTCTAAAATATGGAATAGCCTACCCCTAGATATCAGAACTTGCTCTTCGGTTACAAGCTTCAAACGCTCTCTATACAGACTGTTTCACTCTACAGATTATATTAATAAACTATTTACTCCTAGAACGAATCAAGCACTAATCTACTACAGCACCTAAAAGACGCACTTCAACACCCTTAGCAATCTTTAAACTATAAATAAACTAGCAGCATGGATGCATAAAGACATAGTACGGAACATACAGGATTAGTTTACCCTTAGAAATAGGACCTATCCCTCATTGTAACCTTCAAACGCTTGCTATGTAAACTGTTTTGTCCAAATGACTATCCCTACCAGAACCCATCACTTATTTCTAAAACGCATCAGTCATTAGAACAATAAAACGCTCAGACTCATTAATACACATTATGACATTAAATAAACTCTAAGACTTCGCATAAATACGTGAAAACAATACAATATAGAAAAAAGTTTACTTAAGTATTATATACAACATTTATAAATTCACAATATATATATATATGTCCTTTTCATGTTCACATACTTTCTCTTTCTGGTATTTTGCTGCTCCTATTCATCTTCTGGTCGAGGTCGAACAACCCTGCATCTAAACTGAAATGAGGATTAATTCCAAACCGTCTATCTCATAACCACTCAAATTCCATGAACGATCCAATTCTACCATTTGAAGACGCTGGCGAACATGCTGTAAATGAGTATTCATGATCTGAAATGAAGAAGCAACTGGTTTTCAAACAGTTTTCAACATTTTACTCAACTTACGAATACAGTCCGCCATGCAGACACAAATGGAGCAAATGGAGAATTCTGGAATCGACCTCGGCACCATTTGATGCAGTAAAACAACCCAACATGACCTTATCTAGTTTTCGTATCCACGATCAAATTTCTTTCCTGTTATAAAACTACGATAAGACTACTGAAAAAATGGAATAAATATATCACTGATCTCAACATAATACATCAATAATCTTTAAGCCAAGGGTGCTGTTCACAACAAAGTTATATAAGAGAATTGACTTCAAGCTTTATTTTTCCCAGATATTTGTATTACATTCATCTGATGTCTGGGTTTTTTGTTAATGCGAAGACAATATTTCTATATCTCTTTATGTGCTACACAAACAAACTTTATAGCAGACTGTTCCGACTGACTTTGATGTCAGAAAGAACAACCAAACTGTAAATCCATTATACATCAAATTTTGTGTAATTTATATAATAACTTATCCATGCCTGTACAATTGGTATGCTCCTGCATAAACAGGAAGAAATATATATATATATAACGAGTAAACACAATGAATCCAAAATACACCAATTGCTATGACACACCACACGTATATACAAATAGTACAAACAACCTCGCCGATCATGTCTTGGTGGAATTCCTTTGAAGAATTGCAGGACTTACACCAGTACGCCTACAACCCTTCTCAGGTTGACGATTGTAATTTGTGGAATGTACGGACACAAACAAGATTAACCAACAATTACATCGATTGGAACTCCCACAATTATTTAACACAAACATATGTACAATCAACACATCAAATGTTGTGTATTCTGGCACGACAAACTACCCTTGAAGAACTGTAGGACTTACAGCAGTACGCCTACATTCCTTCTCAGGTTGATGATCCAAGTGGAAGTCGTCCGGACACAAACAGAATTACCAACAGCTAGATGACAGATGATATCAATTCAGTATATGCAATATGAACAGATGTACAAAATCATACACCAAGCACATTGCACTGCTCATTGATGCGCTACCCTTTGAAGAATTGTACGACTTACAGCAGTACGCCTACAACCCTTCTCAGGTTGACGCCCTAGGTTGGAAAATCGTCGCAGAGTTCATTTGCTGACTTCCTTCTATGAGCTAAATCCTCAAATCCGAACGGTAACACGCCCATGTCATTGTGTCGTAGAACGTAGATGACGAACAAACACACGAAGTATCTGGTCAACCAAGTGTAGAAACAGAGTGATTTACACCAAAGAAAATAGCATTCAAATAGTAACTTGAAACTAGAAATGCCTTTATTCATGGAAGTCAATTTAACAATTACTCTCTCGTTTACACTTGGCTTATTCTCACTAAACTGAGCAATATATTTCGTCTCTTCAAACGCACCAATACTATCATAGTCATTGCAGAAGATACTTGAGTTGATGGGCATCTGTTTCATTGTGGATGAAAACACCAACGATGACTGAGTGACACAAGGTGATGAACTTAGCGGTGGATCAGAAGCTGTTCTTTTTCGGCTTTCAGATAATTGTCCAACTGCAAGATTACCACCACTGCTGTCTTTTACTATCAGCTCAGGTTTAGCTATAGCATATGATGATAATAGATGGGCTACATGCTGATCAATCACACTGACGGTCTCACAAGTATGTATGCCTTCTGCAACTGCATCTGCATTTATTTCTACTTCACGTTGTAGTTGTACAGAAACTTTAATTAACTTAGCAGTAGTAGGCATATCCCTCATCTCATAATGATCAACCAAAGACAACTGTGAAGTATCATGATCATTATCACGAATATTCACTTTACCGTCAATCTCATCATCTTTGAACTCTTCAATAACAGAAGCAGACAATTTCGGTTCCTCCTCACAAATTCTTAGAGGTTTTATACCTTCACTCTGACTAGTAATACCTTGTAAACTTGTGGAGTCAGAACTGCACTCTGAAGCAATGACTCCATTCTGTGACACTCCATTCAACAATGGCTTACCAGTTGCAACTACAGAATTCTTGACCACAATTCGGAGTCAGATCTGGATTTCACATTTAGCTTATCCCTGAACTTGCTCACTGATTCACAGTTCACCTTTGTATGCAGCTCTTGCAAGTGTGTAAAACACAACCGTGCTTGTCTTGCATCTTGTAACTTATCTGTTGAGCATGTACTACGAAACCTGTTACACTCACTAGGTCTATATGCATTACTAGACTTCATGGAGCCTTCTAGATATCCACCTCTCTGAGGCCTATTCGTCATCAATGATTTGCGTTTTACCCTCAGACTGCTCTATTCTAGGGGTGAGATTCAATATACTGGCAAACTTGCTCATAGATTGATTGACACTATCTTTTACTAGTTTCAGGATATCATCAAATTTCGGCTCGATACCCTCATCCTCCATACGGGAGCTCATCTTCACCCACTTCCTTTGCAGTCGGGTGGGTAGACGTCTTGCTATTACTTCTAGGATAAAACTCGAGTTGAGGTCACTCATTCGATTAATCGAAATCATTCCATTCTTGTAAATTAGCAAATTATCTAAAAACTCAGTGAGTGCCTGGGAGTCATCCTGTAATTGACCACCATTACCCTCAACAGCCTTGAATAATTTCCTTGCAATCACCGAGGGTCTTCCAAACCTTTGACGTAGTATGCTCATAGCCTCGTAGTAGCCATCTTTTGGCTTCATAAACTTACAACACTGTATAGCTCTTGCAGCATCTCCAGTGCAATATCTCATCAAATACATTAACTTCAATTCATCATTTAATAATAAACCACTCAGCATGATCTCAAACTCCTTTACAAATTGTAAATAATCAGCCGGGTTTCCATCGAAACCCCGTGGTTCAAATTTAGGGAGTTTGATGTTCCTATTATCCCTGAACGGCGAAACAGTAACATCAACCATGTCATGCTTAACATCAGACACATCGTTACAATTAACAGACAAGTCACCATGACTTACTTTCCTGTTTGCATCCAAGACACTCTGTCCCTTCTTTGACCCAGGCATTGTTGAACTTGACCCAATTCCAAAAACGTTCCAGATATTGCTTGTTCAAAGAGGACTTGACCGGCACCAGGAAAGATGAACGGTGACTATCCAAACTGTCACCAGCAGTCCAAAACCCTCGACAACTGACTTCACCATCAGAAACTGTCAGTCACGTCTCGTAAACCGTTAATGCCCAGCTCTTGCTACGCTCGGGCCCACGCTGTTCCTTGCAGTTTTTCAGAAACGCTTAGTAATAACGGACGAAAAAACCAAAAGACCGATTGATGACTCGAGGATTCTTTATTGTTACACCAACATATAAAAATAATGTTTTTACTAGGGTCTGTGAACAAATATTACAATAATAAATCACAATATTACTTCTGATGGTTTACTGCTGACTTCTTTCTGAACAGCGACCGATGAGACGATGACTGTCGTATTGATGCCTCCGCGAAAATTGGGGAAGTCGGTTTGAGCAAACAACCAAGAATTGATCGTTCAATCTTCAACTGTATTGACATAAGTCTTGGAGCAGTTTTCCCGCAGCGCCTCTGCAGTCTATTACGTTTATTGTGGATTTTGGATCTTAGTAACCCCAAGTAACGAAACTTTAATATATTCTTCTCGTAACTAAACTGATTTGGTATTTCGTTTTCTATTTGAATATGGGTAATAGAGCTAACAGAGTAAAAGGTCCACCACAATTCTCGCCGACTATGCACATGGTCTGAGGTTCGATCCCCTGCCGATGCACACCTGATATAAATGGTTGGCTTGCAAAATTTGGGCTACCGATATCACATGGTGAAAATTCCATACATGTACCGAAAATATGGTGTAGAATCAAGCCGTAATCAAAAAGAAAACCAAACAAGACCGTGTAAAATTCACTCCTTTTTCAAAGTTCGCGTGGTACAGTATAAAACACTGAATTCCTTGGGAAATAAAGTGCAGGATGGAACAGATATCATAATTTAATAGCAGTGAGTTGTTACTCTGACCCAAAGTTATCATTTCGACTTACAGATTTTGGAGGGCTTTCCAAATTTTCAAGGTCACAGGTACCGGGCTTCACGTGAATACTCGTCTTTTAGTTAATGATTTACGGTATGTCTCTATCACAGATATTACGCATGATGCGTGCGGTGATACACAGGCGAAACTCAGGTGTCCCATTAGGAAGTCGAAAACATCAAAAGTGTTCCTGTCTAAACACATTCTCTTTTACTGTTTGTTGCTTAATTACTTGAGTCTCCGAGTTACAGCTAGTCTGTATTCTAAAATTTACAAGTGTTTTTGCACTTTAATTGTAAGAGTCGAGATATTTACATGTCCTTTTCGTGTCATCGGAATTCTTTTTGTGACCAAAATGTCTTGTTTCTGACTGTCTTGTAATGGGTCACCTGAATGTAATAAATAATGTAAAGACCCTAACAGACTGTGTGCCCATAACCCACTCTTCCTGGTCGGCATTGTGGAAGTTGACATATTCTTGTCATATTGGACAGAAAGATGCCGTAACCACAGAGCCTGTAGAACGATTTCTGGGCCTGCCACTTTAACTCTGAAACAAAGTGGCCATACATCTATGTTCGTCGCTAACTCTCATTGGCACTTCTGTTTTATTTGACGATCATCCATTCGATGTGACTCTCAAGTAGGTGTTAATAAAGTATCATACATTCTCTGTGTGGGTTCCTGTGCATAAAGGCATACATCACAAATTCTGCCATCTGCTCACCTGAATATATATATCTACATTTTGTATTTATTCCCAGTCACTACTAGCGTCAGTTGTTCTCCACATCACCGTATACACTGCTCAACACTAATTTTTGTTCAATATGACTTTTATTATCCTTTGGTCTGTTTTTTTCGTACATTGCTGTAAATTGTGGCAAGTTAAACTTTAGGTGTTAATAAATCGGTCTATTCGTCATAAATTGATTCAGGGGTTGAGGGTTAACCTATGTAAATTATATAAACATTGGGTGCAAATCAAACGCAAAAATTTGTCTTCTATCTTTACTTACTCCTGTCTGTACTCACCCTTGGGTTTTATGTACATTTTTACAAAAAGCCATTGATATTGTAAGTCTTGGGACAGTACATTACTGTTCTTTTAAGGCTTTTTGTCTATTTGCTTAGGCACTCGACTTCCAAACAGGCGGTCTAGAGATTAAATCATTTTCAAAGGACCTACGCCTCAAGAGTCAACTAGTACTATCACACATATTTGCAGTGTTGTTCAATCCTTGGGTTTCATTAAAATATAATTATTACCCATAAAAATATTTTTTTCACGTTTTTAGAAGTCAATAAGTGTCTTGTTTCTGCTTTCAGACGTTATTCGTGTTCAACGCCTGATAAACAGCCTTTTTCAGCTACTATATCCATATGCCCGACAACTACATTACAGTAAGCGGTTTTATATAATAAATATTGCCAATTCCGCAAGGTGCGAGCTGAAAATGTCAGTGATGAAGATGAATCCAATGGTTCACCTCTAAAAGGAATTCATTCATCATTGAATAACGTTGAAGTAGATTCCGTTTTGTCGAAGTTTTCAAAGCATATCATCTTGCTTCCACAATCTGATCATGTACGCGTGCTTCAGACAGTTATTAGGAATAGGTATATCCTTCAGTTGATATTAATTCTTTGACTGGCAGAGAGACTACAAGAAATGAGTTTTTGTTCCATGCTGATCGTCTAGTAAGTTCTTACCGCTAACCATTTTCGTTTACTTTCTTGTAGATTCGTTTAGTCGTCGAAGAAGGTTTAAACCAACTTCCGTATGAAGATGTCAGCATTACAACGCCTACAGGTATGGTCATCTGATACTGATAGAAAATAAGAAAACACGAGTGTAGCGAATTTCCCTGTAATGTAATTGGTGATGATTAAAGATAAAATGAAAATCTAGGTTGACAAGATTCGATTGGTGTAAACTTTGCTGTTTATGGTGCATGATGCATGCCTATTCATTTGGCAACCACCTGCACCTATTACATGTTAATACTACTTCCCTACACAAACGTCAGTAGATTAAGCAGAATTCTAACATTTAAACTACTGGTTAAAGTTGAATGTGCAGACTAATAAACTCCAAACAATATAATTCAAACTTGTCTACTTGCCTTTGAACTGCATTTCGTGTATGGGTTATACTATCTAATTGATTAGGATAAAGCTTGTGCTGTGGGTTTTTGAATTACAGTGTGTTTCCTAAAAATCAATGCCTGAATTTTCCAAATACACCCGACGAACTTTTAAATATATTAACATAACCCATTATAAGTTAAAAGGTGCACTAACATCTTGCACATTTTACTGGAATTTAACGTCAATAAAATAAAATGGTCACTATTTGATTCCCCTAATAGTTATATCTCTTAACTGTCTCACATAAATTGCTGCGTTCTAAGGAGTTTATGCCGATAAGTTCAGTCACAACTGTTTAAACTTGCCTCATTGAAGGACCAATGTATCATGTACTTATTTATATTTTCCATGTTTCTCATATGGAAAATCACGACTGTCTCTGCTTTTCACATTACGTGGGTTGTTCTTTCTCGCGAAAATAAATTGATTCACCTAGGTAAGAAAGCCGACACTATGAAGTGTCGTAAGCATCTCTAAATAAAATATGTAACTTTTTGTCATGACTTTCGTGTTCTCCAAATGTAGGACAATTTATCCTGTTGTGCTCCATGAGTTTATGTATCGCTACACCCACTGACGTTTGAGAAAACAAGTTTTATTATCAGCCCTTAAACAATAGGTGTGGTTTACCACCATGTGAGCATAAATGGAATTATTTGCACTTAAGTCTTTTACACTGACATATTTCCTGGTAAAAAAAATGAGCATTTACTGCAAAGCAATGGTAGTTTCGTGTGTTTTGAAGTTTAATTGTAATAAATTAATGACTATCGAGATGAAACTTGAGTCTTCATAAATCAGTTTATATATTCAAATGGGTCGCTGGACGGTATTCAACGTGAGAGTCAGTTCCTAAGTGGTGAACAACACTTGTCTACCAGGTCTGCTAACAAGTTACAAGCAGGAAACTTAGCCGCCTAGTTCTTGAAGGATGTCAGTGAACACTGTCTGTCTGTCTGGATTCAACATAGAACTTGGCACCGAAGTGCACCAGTTCGAGTTGCCACCTTCCAAATAGCACACAGAGGTAGACAAGAAGATGAGTGAAGAGAATCAATACAGTCTGACAAGTATAAGAGTGAAACAGAATGGGTAATGGTAGAAAGGAATATGAAAGATTACAGAGACTGAATACATCTGCGCTGGCCATTGACAACGATTTTGAGCCATGTCACCTATTGTGTCCAGCCACTGATACCTAGAGTCCCGAGGGTCTCAACCCGGGAGTCTGCATCTCCCTACCTGACTCAGTTTAACTGTCGAGGATTTCATAGATTGATGTCATGTTTTTGTTTGGCCACCACTGGCTCTTTTCCAGCCTGCTACCTATATCAGCTAGCAATGCCCGTCGGGGGAGGCGGTGGTTAGGCATGCGCACCACGTGACCTAGCCATCTTAGTCTATGTAACTTTATAGCCTCGTCGATTGATTTTCCCTCTTTGCCCAACACTCTACGCCTAACGTCAACATTACTTACCTTGTGAAACCAACTAACGTGAGACAGGGATCGCAGACATCTATGATCGAAAGCAGTCAACCTTTTCATGTCTTCAACGCGTATTGGCCATGTTTCAGAGCCATAGAGAAGGACGGAGCGAACTGCTGAGCAGTACACACGTCCCTTGGTTGATAACCGGATGTCACGCCTACGCCAGAGATGGTGTAAGTCAGCGAAAGCAGCTCGAGCTTTTCGGATCTGTGCTGAGATTTCATCGCCAATCAGTCCGTTGGTGCTGATACAACTTCCCAAGTAGGTGAAGTGGTCAACATGTTCTATCACTTCACTCCCTATCACTAAGATAGGAGTTGACGTGGTCCAGTCCTGTAGCAGCATCTTACATTTTGTAGGGGCGAATCGCATGCCAAACATATGGAGATTGCTGCCCAAGGTGTTCAGAAGACTCTGCATTTTGTCAGCATCCTCCCCCAACAGGACTATGTCATCTGCATATTCTAAGTCCATAAGACTATTCCCTGGTAACAAGTCGATTCCTAAGTCATTACGTTCAGTTAAGGATACTTCCGTCAGCATATCTATGATGAAGTTAAACAGAAATGGGGAAAGTGGACATCCCTGTCGGACACCACTGGTTGTTACCAATTCAGATGACAATTCCCCATAAGCCCTTACACGACTACGTGAGTTTGAATAGAGTGCCTTGATTAGTGCAATGTAGTTTCCTGGCACTCCCTTCACATTCAGTCATGGCCATAGTACCTTTCGATCCACGGAGTCGAAGGCCGCCTTCAAGTCAATAAATATGGCAATTGTTGGACGCCGAAAAGTGTGTCTATGTTCTAGAATCTGTCGAAGAGTGAAGATATGATCTATGCACCCTCTACCTGGTCTAAAGCCTCCTTGATTTTCCCTTGTCTGTTCCTCCCGAGTTCTGCTTAGTCTATGCATGATTACTGAGCCTAGGATTTTAGAGACTACGTTCGTTAGGCTGATCCCCCAATGATTATCACACGAGGACTTGTTTCCCTTCTTGAATATCGGTATAATGAGTGACTTACCCCAGTCTGATGGAACTGTCTCTGATTCCCAGACTTTGCCTAGTACCTCAGTTAATCTACAAACTAGTATGTCACCCCCATATTTAAACACCTCCGGGATAATTCCGTCGGGTCCGGCCGCTTTGCCTCGTTTCAAATTACAGATAGCTTTTGTGACCTCACTTACAGACGGTGGACCAGTGTTTATATCCCATTCGGGTGTGTTCTGGATGTCGGGGAGGTTCAGTGTGGCTGTAGGCAAGTTAAATTGTCCCTCAAAGTGTTTTTCCAGCGTTCAAGGCGTCTATCCTGAGAGCTAATTAAGGAGCCATTTTTCTCAGAAACAGTCTCACTTATGATTTGCCTTCTCCCACCCGTTTCCCTGATGAGTCTTAAGAGTTGCCTAGTGTTGCCTATCGCCGATGCTTTTTCCATCTCTTTTGCCTTTGTCAGCCACCACTGTTCACGGTCCTTGCGGAGACTTTTCGTAAGTTTCCTCTTGTGCAGCTTTCGCTCCTCATTGAATTCGGAGCTCGCCGGAATAAGTCTTCTAGCATCTATCAGTTCGGATGAGGCAGTCGAAATCCAATGGTTTTTACTCACCTTTGGATTTGCCTTATTCACAGCTTTTACAGCTATATCTATGGCTGACTGAATATTCTTCCAGGCTTCTCCAGGGTGAGCACAGCTGTCGAATTCAGATATGCATTTAGCTAGTTCTTCCTCAAATAGGGATTTAGTTAGTCAGTGAACACAATGCACTTCTAATCACTATCGAAAAGTTAGCTTTGATATCCTATGTCGATTCTTTGACGTTAAATGGGCTGAATGAGAGCCGAAAAAAATGCTGTGATCTACTCAAAAAGTTTAATAATTAAGCTTCAGACCATGACAAATACCAAAGTATGTTGGTTTAAGATTGTGCAGCTTTTTATTTAGCCATTTTATGGACTCCACTTCAGCATTCCTCATTAGGCAGTAGCTAGGTAAAATACTGAGTCGGGCATTCAGTTTCATATGCAGTAATAAGCACTTATCGCTGTTCAACGTCCAGTGTTCTGAATGTTTTCAGATGGTCGTCTAACCGATGTCACTTCACCGCGGTAACTAATTTAATACATCTAATATTTCGTTGTTACTAATATCAATAGTGTCTTCTTAATTGGGATACTTTTTGTCAGATTTTAATTCATCATAGTTCAAAACATGACAGGAAATTACCATTTGACTTTCACTAATCTTTTGCTAATATTGAAAATTAAGGTGCCTACAGAACAACAAAATCTCAGTAAAAAGTTTGAGCATTGTGGATTAGATCAAATAAAGTATAATTATATTTTAATAGTTTACACACAATGATAAGTTTTGTTATTGGTAATATTTCGAGCAAAATTACTGCCCGTGTTCACACCACTGTTGGAATTGTTTTATTCATACATTTATGATTTGTACTCATATATATATATATAGTTCATTATTATTATTATTTTTTGCTCATTCATGTTTTGTGTGTGCATATGTGTGTTCAGAATTATACTCCACATTCATTCATGTTTTTGTATTTAGAATTATATTCCAAGTTGTTGATAGTTGTACTGAGTCACCCTTGTTACATGTATCCGGTGTGACTTTAATGAATATCGATTCTTATACAATTGGTGGATGGTGGCTAGCAGTGGAATCCAGGATGCGCATTTCGTCCTATTTGGGACTCGTCAGCTGGATGTACCTGCATTTCTCAGTGAGTGATGATGTTCCCACTGAGGCTCGAACCCAGTGCCCATAGTTTCAAACGCCAAAGCGTTATCTCGTGGCTTAAGTGGTCTAGTGGATAACGCTTTGGCGTTTGAAACTATGGGCACTGGGTTCGAGCCTCAGTGGGAACATCATCACTCACTGAGAAATGCAGGTACATCCAGCTGACGAGTCCCAAATAGGACGAAATGCGCATCCTAGATTCCACTGCTAGCCACCATCCACCAATTGTATACTAATTAAATGCCCAGACATCGTCGAGGCATCTGCACAAGAAGCCGACATGTCAACCTGAGACCGAGCACTTCGGTCCAATCAATCGACGGGAAAATCAAAAATTCAATTGTAGAATATCGATTCTGTTATGAGTATTTCTTTCCATTTGTTCATGTTTGTGTTTAGAATACACACATTTTCACTAATCGCTATTGTGGTTTTTGTCCCATGCATGTGCAGCTATCGATGAATTTTTTTCAAGATTTTTTAAGCTTGTGTCCATGTTGGTTGACCTTTAGTTAGGCGTTTATGTTCATTCACTCTTATTTTGAGTGATCTGGACGTTTGCCCCACATATTTAGTTGGACAGTCAGCACAAGATATTTTATAAATCAAATTGTTTTTATCCATCATTTTTATAGGATCTTTCAGTTGATTTATTTTATTTTTGATTAGATTCGTCGGTTTAAAGGTTGTTCGAATACCGATATTTTTGAGGTTTCTTTGTATTGCCTCTGATGTACCATTTTTATATGGTATTGCGACCGTTTTTTTTTTGCATTCTTCCTTCTTGTTATTCTCCGATTTTAGCCTCTTTTTTCTCTTTTTTATATTATCTTTTATAAATTCTCTAGGGTAGTTATTTTCGAGTAGCATTTTGAATAGGACTTTTATTTCTTTACGCTGGTCCTCTGGTGCTGTTGTAAGCCTACGTATTTTATCTGCAAGACCTTGTATTAATCCTCATTTTACCGAGAGTGGATGAGCTGAGTAATAATCAAGGAATCTTCCAGAATGTGTGGCTTTTCTATATATCGTTGTTTTTATGCTACCATCTGTCATTCTTTGTAGTTTGCAGCCTAACATGGGCAGTTCTCCAATTTCATTCTCTAATTCCATAGTGAATTTTATTGAGTCAACGTGTCTGTTTATGTGTGAGAAAAGTTTCTCAGTATCGTTTTTTTCCACTATTACTAGTATGTCGTCTACATATCTCCACCAACATTTTAATGATGATCTGAATGGTTTAAGGGCATTTTCCTCCCAATAATCCATGAATATATCAGCTATAATTGGTGAGATAGGTGATCCCATAGCTTCTCCCTCATTTTGTTGGTATATTTTTCCTTCGAATGTGAAATATGTTGTTGTCAGACAGAATTCTACCCCTTTTATTATTTCTTCTACGGATAACTGTGTTCTGTCTTTCAGGCCTTTATCTTCATTTAGTTTCTCTTTCAGTGCAATCATGGCCATTTGAATGGGTATTTTCGTATAAAGACTGTTTACGTCAAAGCTAACTAGTATTTCTTCCTCCTCTATTTTAGTGGTTTTTATTCGCCTCACTAATTCAAATGAATCTACTATTGTAGCTTTTGAGTTGTCTCTTGTTGGTCTTAGTATTGTCGAGAGAAATCTGGATAGCATATACGTTGGTGTGTTTCTGAAGTCTACAATCGGTCTTATTGGATATCCCTCTTTATGCAATTTTATCTTACCATATATCCTAGGTACATTACAGGATTTTGGCATAATTTCAAACCATTTTGACTTACCAATTACTTCTTTCATTTGTCTAACTACATTTGCTGTTTCTTTCATTGTTTTGTTGATGATTGTTTCAGCTGATTTAGTCATTATGGTATAGGGTCCAGATTGTAGATGTTCATTCATCTTTTCATTATATGTTGTTTTGTTTAGTAATACTGTTGTGTTGCCTTTGTCTGCTTGAGTAATGGCAATGGATTTGTCTGCTTTTATGTCTTGAAGTGCTTTTAGTTCCTCCTTCGTTATGTTTGGTTTTTCTGCTTTTTGCTTTTTTAAGGTAAGTGCACATTGTGCTCGTACCAGTTCAGCTTTTTGCTTGTCATATCCTTCGAGTGCTGTTTCAATTACAGGTATGATGTCTTCAGGTTGCACATGCATAGGACAAAAACCACAATAGCGATTGGGAAAATGTGTGTATTCTAAAAACAAACATGAACAAATGGAAAGAAAGACTCATAACAGAATCGATATTCATTAAAGTCACACCGGATACATGTAACAAGGGTGACTCAGTCCAACTATCAACAACTTGGAATATAATTCTAAATACAAAAACATGAATGAATGTGGAGTATAATTCTGAACACACATATGCACACACAAAACATGAATGAGCAAAAAATAATAATAATAATGAACTATATATATATATATGAGTACAAATCATAAATGTATGAATAAAACAATTCCAACAGTGGTGTGAACACGGGCAGTAATTTTGCTCGAAATATTACCAATAACAAAACTTATCATTGTGTGTAAACTATTAAAATATAATTATACTTTATTTAACAAAATCTCAATTTGATTATAAATAACCTATCTAAATCTGCTTAATGCCGAGAAGCACTTAGTTCTGTATCACTAAACTAAGAGTTGGTATATAGTACTCCTATGTCATCAGCTAGCATTTGACAGAGGCAAAGTACATGGCGAATCTGCATTTTTACTGAGGTTGTTCAATAAATTGTATTACCGGTGTTTTCCCACAGTGATGACTAAGTCTCCTCTAAACTCCAGGCTAACCACTTCTTTCCTTGATAATAAGTCCATTCCTGAGAAATCTTAGTCAACTATACACCTTTCTTGAAATACCTAATAATAAGAATAATTAAGAATAGTTATATTGGGTATTTCTAGCGCACTTCGTTACTCCTTTATACCACTGAATAAAATCCAGTGACATAAATCTATGTACTTTGTCAGCACTCTCTTTACAATCACATGCTGCCAAACACCTTTCGGTCAATGAAATAGAGTATCTCTTGAGCATTCCACTCGAAGACTGTTTAGCTGTGAAAAGCGTGAATGTATACAGAAAAATTTGTTAACGATTTTTAAAACTCAATACGGGTGTACATTTGTTGTACACCGTTGCATAATAAACCTTCACAACCTAGTAAACTAAGGGGATCTTTTGATCTGGTTGTGTTATCTGAGCTGGTTGATTTAGTTGCGAAGCTTTCGTTGTCCTTCTAGACAACATCTTCAGTGCAGGTTTTAATGGCCTTTCTCATAGGACTCAGTCCTATTCATTTATTATCATTATTGCACTAAATAAAATTTAGAATTTCAAATTGACAAGAATAGGACTATCGGAAGAGAAATCTTTGCATTTTTTTTTTCAAACAAGGCATCCGCATGCAGCTTACTACCACTCATTTATTATTTATGTATATTCACGCACAGGTCATTTATTCAATGGAACCAGTTTTCTACGTGGTAATTGTGGTGTGTCTGTTATGCGATCAGGTGAGGCAATGGAACGTGGTTTACGCGATTGTTGCCGGTCAATGCGTATTGGAAAGATATTGATTCAAACAGCTGAAGAGAGTGAAATTGTTGAAGCTAAAGTTTATTATGCCAAATTACCACCGAATATTGAGGAAAGAAAAGTCTTGTTAATGTATCCTATTTTAGGTACGTTCTTTATGTCATTGATAATGAAATTTAATCAAACTATTATTACTTGAGATGTGTTAGTTTACAAACTTTGAATCACCGAAACCTTCACTTCGGACCACTCTCCAAACAGTAAAGCGTATCAGCAGTAGGGACATACATGCGTATGGTGACTTCATAATATTGCCGATGTTTGTTATTTACAGCAGGAGATCGGGGAAACGTAGCTGTGCAGATCGATTTTTCCACATGGTATTTGGTAAACTTGAAAAATTAGCTCAAAATCCAACAGGAGATTATTTCTACTTTTTAAAATTCTCAGGCGGCGTTGGTTTAGGCGGAGAAATCAATTTCCCAATAGACTGACTATCAATTTGTCAGTGGATTTCTTTGCAATGTGATGTGAGGTGATTAACCGTAGGAAAAGCGCTAAATAGGTATTTCATCTTGCTTTCAAACTAATCAGCAATGTGCATACGTTCCCGAAAATTTAAAATTGCTAGTTTTATTCTCAGAAGCCTGTAATAAGAGGTGTTAGTTAGAATGTAGAGTAATACATCCTTGCAACTTATTCATATTCACTCACTATTTTATTGATTGAGATATTATGATAAATCTGCCCTATTTCATGAAGCTTCGTTACATCAATCTACTTCTTTAAATCATGAGAAGTCATATGAATCTGACATTCCACCCAACAGTCAGGCGAACGAGTCCACTCGTGATTTTGACTAGCTAGCTGTCCTACATTTTCATACATTTATTAAACCGGTAGCAACAACTTCTTACCTGCTATTGTATTAAGATCTGATTGTCTTTTGCTTTTTTTTCCGGCGTAATCGTATTTTATCTACTGTAGCACTTCATAAGCTGTTCGACATGTTTCTTTATCAGCATCCTTCGATGTAGACTTCCAGTCTTGCCTCATCATACATAGGGTTACTAAAATAAAGTTGAGACTCATGCGTAACTTAATGTCGCCTAACTGTGTTAACCCTGCAAAATGAATCAAAAATGTACTGCTTGATAGTTAGTTTTTCCACTAAGACGCAGAAGTACCGCAGACTAGTAAGTGTTAAACTGTGCCTATTTTTTAACCTATCAAAAGTATACTTTCTTCCTACGATAAACTTTTATAATGCACTATATTTTATACTATATTGTCTTCATTCCACTAATAATTCAAGTTTTTCAATTTTCCATAGCTACTGGAACTACAGTACTGAAAGCTTTAGATGTCTTAAGAACGTATAATGTTTCTGTGGAGAATGTGATTTTGTTATCGTTATTTGCTTCACCAAAAAGTAAGTTATTTGCCATTGTCATCTCCTTTATGTTCAAATAATTATTTCTTAAATCAAATTCGCGATTTACAATTTGCACTATTCAACGTGAAACTTCAATACGATTTCCTTTGGAGACCGAAGTTATTCAAATCCCAAGATGTGATCTGTGTGATACCATAAATAATAATCCAGAAAACAAGCATAAATGCATGTTGCTGTATAAGAACCTATTGATTGATAGGAATAGTTGGTTACCGCTTACATCGACCAGATAGCTCAAACAACTGGGTACACTGCTTCCGACAGAAATAGCCGTCCAATGTTCAGATCACTTCAGTCTGGATAGCAGGCACTAGTGCTTGATGTGAGTAGTATCCAATTATTCATACCAATCAATCAAGCAAGCAGTAATATATAGCAGCATAACTGTTTATTGTAAATTATTTTTTTATCGTCTTGTCTGTCACACAAAATTCACCAGTGTTAATTGAGATTAATTCGAAACTGGCATATTGTGGCTTGTACTACTGATAATATTTATCAGTAGTGTATGAAGAGACGTTAATCGGCATAAAAACATCAAATAGCAAAGAAATAGATTTGATGTCAGAGAAAGCAAATGATACAAAGATGCGTATATACATGGAAGACGTGAAAGAAGCACAGAAACACACACAATATGAAGGCCAGAAGTAGCACAATACGGTTCAAATGGTTCGTTGAAGAATAGGTGTACATAATTTAGTTATATAGAGATACCAAAGTACAAATAAACTATCCTTTACCAAGTCTCTCATCTTCTACCGTTAAAATATTTATATGTTTGAATTTGTCTCAACTTCTTCATTTTTATATTGATCCGAATGATATAGTTGTAGTGGGAATCTTTCTTCAACTCCAATACTTCTGACTATCCTACCTACTTGAATTTGTGTCCAATAGTTTCTGTGTATAAACCCTAATCCACCTAATCAGGTCTTTTCAAATAGTCCAAATAATTAGTTACTATTTGAACAAAGAAAGAAGAAACATTGGCGCAGAATAATCTGGATCCATTTTATTTCGTTGGTTCTCATCAGCTGCGTACAACCTGAATTTTCTTTTTAATACAAATAAAAAGTGTACAATTTTAACAAACCTTTGTCCTTTAGCATAAGGCGTTGAGATTTACAGGGTGTCTAAAGTATTACGACATATATATATATATATATATATATATTGGTAGAGAGAAGTTTCTTGAAAAGAAAATTAATTAACAGTTGTGTTGTTGGGGAGGCAACATAGACAATTAGCAATAGTTACGTAATTAGATAAGAGATCAAAATTTTAAAATTTTGGTGCACAAGAGGTCAGATGAGGAGTCGATGAGGTAATACAGTGAGCAGAACTCAGAAGACCGAGAAAAATTATCTCTTAATAGAGTCAGGCGAAAAATAAAAAGATAAGTTAACAAAATTAGAAAACAAAGAGTTACTGAGAAGTGAGTCACCGGGGTAATCAAAGTCCAACAACAGATTCTTCCTGGACACATAAGTCAGGCTCCAGCAAACCTGAGAAGAATTGGGGTATTTTGTTTGTTAATTATTTTGAGTGATTCCACCACATCTACTCGGTGTCTTGTGTTAATCAGATGTTTGGCAAATGAAGAGCTTAAACAAATCGGTCCGTTTAACCGGAGGCTCCTTGGTTGATATTTTTTTTCAAGAATATATATATATATCGTGACACTTTAGACACCCTGTGAACCTCAACGCCTTATTTTACTATGGCGCTTTGGAAAAAGCATCGGCGATAGGCAACACTAGGAAACTCTTTAGACTCATCAGGGAAATGGGTGGGAGAAGGCAAATCATAAGTGAGACTGTTTCTGAGAAAAATGGCTCCTTAATTAGCTCTCAGGATAGACGCCTTGAACGCTGGAAAGAACACTTTGAGGGACAATTTAACTTGCCTACAGCCACACTGAAACTCCCCGACATCCAGAACACACCCGAATGGGATATAAACACTGGTCCGCCGTCTGTAAGTGAGGTCACAAAAGCTATCTGTAATTTGAAACGAGGCAAAGCGGCCGGACCCGACGGAATTATCCCGGAGGTGTTTAAATATGGGGGTGACATACTAGTTTGTAGATTAACTGAGGTACTAGGCAAAGTCTGGGAATCAGAGACAGTTCCATCAGACTGGGGTAAGTCACTTATTATACCGATATTCAAGAAGGGAAACAAGTCCTCGTGTGATAATCATAGGGGATCAGCCTAACGAAGATAGTCTCTAAAATCCTAGGCTCAGAAATCATGCATAGACTAAGCAGAACTCAGGAGGAGTTCTAGGTAAGGAGGGGAAATCAATCGACGAAGTCGTGAAGCTACAAAGACTGAGATGGTTAGGACATGTGTTACGTATGCCAAGCCATCGCCTCCCTCGACGAGCTATGTTAGCGGATATAGGGTCAGGCTGGAAAAAAGCTAGCAGCGGTCAAACAAAAACTTGGCACCAGTCAATGAAATCCACAACAGTTGGTCTAAGCCACTTAGGAAGGTGTAGACTTCCAGGCTGGGGTCCTCGGGACGGTAAAAATCTATGGTTGGAAACAATTGCTGACATGGCTCCAAACCGTTCTCAGTGGCGCAGATGCACCCACTTCCTGTGACTTATGATCTCCAATGAAACTGCTTTGTATTTCTTTATCACTCCTTTGTCTCACACCTCTGCTCACTGTTTCTATTATGCTTTTCTTGTACTTTCTTCTCTTGCTTCGCGTGCTACACGGAATGTGGCGACTTGAACTGGCGCACATTTGTGCAAAGTTCTATGTCGAAAACAGACAGACAGGAGGAACAGACAAGGGAAAATCAAGGAGGCTTTAGACCAGGTAGAGGGTGCATAGATCATATCTTCACTCTTCGACAGATTCTAGAACATAGACACACTTTTCGGCGTCCAACAATGGTCATATTTCTTGACTTGAAGGCGGCCTTCGACTCCGTGGATCGAAAGGTACTATGGCCATGACTGAATGTGAAGGGAGTGCCAAGAAATTACATTGCACTAATCAAGGCACTCTATTCAAACTCATACAGCCGTGTAAGGGCTTATGGGGAATTGTCATCTGAATTGGTAACAACCAGTGGTGTCCGACAGGGATGTCCACTTTCCCCATTTCTGTTTAACTTCATCATAGATATGCTGACGGAAGTATCCTTAACTGAGCGTAATGACTTAGGAATCGACTTGTTACCAGGGAATAGTCTTATGGACTTAGAATATGCAGATGACATAGTCCTGTTAGGGGAGGATGCTGACAAAATGCAGAGTCTTCTGAACACCTTGAGCAGGAATCTTCGTATGTTTGGCATGCGATTCGCCCCTACAAAATGTAAGATGCTGCTACAGGACTGGACCACGTCAACTCCTATCTTAGTGATAGGGAGTGAAGTGATAGAACATGTTGACCACTTCACCTATTTGGGAAGTTGTATCAGCACCAACGGACTGATTGGCGATGAAATCTCAGCACGGATCCGAAAAGCTCGAGCTGCTTTCGCTGACTTACACCATCTCTGGCGTAGGCGTGACATCCGGTTATCAACCAAGGGACGTGTGTACTGCTCAGAAGTTCGTTCCGTCCTTCTCTATGGCTCTGAAACATGGCCAATACGAGTTGAAGACATGAAAAGGTTGACTGCTTTCGATCATAGATGTCTGCGATCCCTGTCTCACGTTAGGTGGTTTCACATGGTAAGTAATGTTGACGTTAGGCGTAGAGTGTTGGGCAAAGAGGGAAAATCAATCGACGAGGCTATAAAGTTACATAGACTAAGATGGCTAGGTCACGTGGTGCGCATGCCTAACCACCGCCTCCCCCGACGGGCATTGCTAGCTGATATAGGTGGTGCAGGCTGGAAAAGAGCCAGTGGTGGCCAAACAAAAACATGACATCAATCTATGAAATCCTCGACAGTTAAACTGAGTCAGGTAGGGAGATGCAGACTCCCGGGTTGGGGGCCTCGGGACTCTAGGAATCAATGGCTGGAGACAATAGGTGACATGGCTCAAGCTGTTATCAAAAATAAAATAAAATCGTTGTCAATGGCCAGCGCAGATGTATTCAGTCTCTGTAATCTTTCATATTCCTTTCTACCATTACCCATTCTGTTTCACTCTTATACTTGTCAGACTGTATTGATTCTCTTCACTCATCTTCTTGTCTACCTCTGTGTGCTATTTGGAAGGTGGCAACTCGAACTGGTGCACTTCGGTGCCAAGTTCTATGTTGAATCCAGGCAGATAGACATGGCGCTCTGATAGTATGCTTGCCAATGGACAAAGTTTTGTTAGAACTGTACACTTTCTATTTTTATTAAAAAAAACAGGTTGTACGCAGCTGATGAGATCCAACGGAATAAAATGGATCCAGATTATTCTGCTCCAATGTTTCTTCTTTCTTTGTTCAAATTTATAAAATGGAATCATTGTATGAAATTAGTTACTAGCTATTATTTCACTAGTAGGTTCTTGATATAAGGTTCTTTCGACGGTGGAGCCGAGTGAATGAGTATTCAGCAGAGTGTTTTTGAATTGCTTTCACTTATTCATCCTTGTCAAATTAGCACTATTAATGTGTAGTTGATTTTAATTGTCTTACTGTAGGTTTATACACAGAATCCAATCCATGACTGATATAGTAAAGAAAGCTGTGCACAAAAATCGATAATGTTAATTTTCAGTGCCGTTTTGACTGTAAAAGCTTATATGTTTGAGAAAACCAAACTACTTTCAGAGATCAATAAGATGCTGAATAGCTCCACTGGTTAGTGTTAAAAATCTTGGTAACAGGGTTTAAAACGGTTCACTACAGTGCATATGTATTCACTTATTATCGTTATCATCGGGAATTATCCTCGTGTAAATGTCATCTCACCTGTCTCCCTTTCTTTGTCCATTGCATTATCATTCTACTTCTGGTCACTTTATACATGTGCTATTTTGAAATGCGTCAAATTAGTTAACTGGATAAAGGTCACTTGATTTACCTACAGGCGGCAAGGATGAGGATGTCAAAAGTAGGATCGGAAAAGCGAGACAAGCCTTCACTAATCTGTAATCAGGATTTCATCATGAGCTGACATCAGTTAGAACCATTGGAAAACCTGGGAGTACTGGACAGCTGTTTCGTCAGCCTAGTTTGGAACTCTTCAGCACCACGCACCCAGCAGGATTCCAACCCAGGACACTCTGGTTACTGGTGAAGAGTCCCAAACTAGGCTGACGAAACAGCTGTCCAGTACTCCCAGGTTTTCCAATGGTTCTCTAACTGATGTCGGCTCATGATGAGATCCTGTAACCAATCAATCAAATCCCTACAAACCAACACTTGAAAATCTGTAATCAGTCTGGAAATCTACTACACCCAGCTGAAGGCATGTGGTCAGGTTCCTTCGTCTTTTGGCATACTGTTGTGTTGTATTCGGTTGTTCGTACGCAATCTCTAGTTAGCTAAGCAAGCATAACAGTATAATTTCGAAAATACACTCCGTATCTTGCACTAAGCATAGAGAAGATTTAGATTTCCAACACCAATGTCAAACCAGTGCTGCTATATAGAGTTGAGGGACTTGGCTCATGCATCTCAAAAAGTATTTCCAACAGACCGCTGAATTTGATCAACGGCTGCCATTGTTCCATACGCAAGATAAGATCGTCAGAAGAGATTAGCAATAAAATCTCTGGGAATGAACCAACCATAAACCCATCATTCAACAAATATGCCGAAGAAAATTGAGATGGATTGAACATACGCTAAAGAAACCGTTAAGCGACATCGCCTGCTAAGCCCTCGAACAGGAGACGACGAGTCGGGTGTACGAGGATGACATGGAGGAAATCGTATGAGAAGAGAATGAGAGCTTATAAACAATCGTGGAGCCGACTAAAAAGGATTAGAGAGAACAGGTTGAAGTGGGGATGTGTTGCTTAAGCCCCAGATCCCACCCGGAGTCCAAGTGAACAATAAATAATAATGTCTTATAATCATTTCCACTAGAAAGTTATACATTTCTCAGTAATTAATTTGTCTAACCTGATATACAATAGTTCTCACCAGTTGGCACTCAATTGTTCGTATCTCGAGCACAATGTTTATTACTTCTCAAAGTTTCACAACCCCGCGGTTTTGTTACTGTATTACCGTAATAAAATAGTCTTATCTAAGTTCTGTTTTTCTTCCATCTACAGGTCTTGTCAATATTTTAACACGTAATCCAGCATTAAGAGTTGTCACCTCAGAAATTCATCCAATTGTACCAAGTCATTTTGGTCAGCGATATTTTGGTACTTCTTAACTTTAAATTTTCGTTGATTTTTTTTAGAAATATTTTACTTATTTTCTTTTCTTCATGATTTGTTTTATATCTCCTCGTCAACATGTCTCTATACTCTCCTCTGTCTTTGAATTCTTTTTTGTTTCTCGTACGCATTATATATTTCATTAACTTCATTGTATACTAGTTTTGAAATATGCCCGTATTTCCGGTGTCATTTCACGCTGAATTCGGTTGACGTGTGGTCATTGTGAATCATGTCAAAGAAGAAGAAGAGAAAACTAACCATTTTGATAATGTACATGGGTGTGTATGTATGTATATGTGCGTGTATATGAAATAATGAAGTATATAGAAACTTAATATTATTGTTATTGATTTCCCTTTGTTCTTCTTTTCTCAATGTGTATAAATTTTGAATAAACTTAGTTATCTCGGAGAATTCTGTCATCACACTGCACATTTTTTTGCACTAACGTAGATCGCTTACTTTAAATTTCAAGCAGCAAAGTATGCTGCTATCAAAACAGACCAGGGTAATATATTGTATAATTTAGAATCGACAACCTATTTTGTATCTCAACGTGGATTTCGTCACGAACTAACATCAGTTGTAGAGAGATCATCAAAAAACCAGGAAACCCTGAACAGCTGCTTCGTCCTAACTTGGGACTTTTCATCAACGAAGAAGACTTACTGTGTTTCTTTTAACCATAAATGTTTGCGTTCTGCCTCCCGTGGTTAAGTGGTATAATATGGCGAATGATATTGAGGTTAGGCGTGTTAAGTGTTAGGTAAGTGAAGAGTAAGTCAATCGATGAGATTACGAAACTGTATCGATTGACATGACTGGGACACGACGTGTTACGCATGTCCAGCCACCACCTTCTTCGATTAGCAATGTTAACTAACATGGGATTAGATTCTTAAAGATTTAGGGGTTGTCAAACAAAAACCTGCTTTCAATCCACGCAGTTTTGAGCCAGTCACGTAAGGAGGTGTAGACTGCCTGACTGGGCTCGTCGACATGCTAGGAAACAATGGCTTTAGATTGTTGGTGATATGGTTCAAAAGCGTTCACAGTAGCGCGGATGCATTCACTCTTTGTAGTCTGCCTTATCCATTAAGTCCTCATGCTTTTCCATATTATTGTTGATTTTCTTGTGCTTTTCTATTGGTTTGTTTTCTTCTCTCTACCTTTGTGTGCTAAATGGAATGTGGCAAGTTGAACTGCTGCACTTCTGTACAAAACTCAGTTATTCATCAGTGTAAACTGTCATCCTCACAGGTCGTCTACTCCATTACTGTCAAATCTGTCAATGGATTTACTTACTAGATTAGAATCTAGTGGACTTTTATGTATCTCTAACTTAGCATGGCTACCGTCTAGTATCATCATCGAGTAACTGAACTTGCTGTCTTAACAAGAGTCTATAATTAGTAGAGTCAATTGAATCAGGTTTTTGGACTATCATTCACTGGTAATATTAGAGTGGGATAAGGATGACTTGTAGACTGACAAAACTTGTATGTGTGAAGGTCCTGGGGTCTATGACTCCGTTTCTTATTGAGTTGCAGATGAGCACTCCTCAATAGTTTCAAGCTAAGGTGAAATAACTGGTCAATGGGTCTTCGAATTAAGAAAGTACGGCACAAATACCACCATTGATTAACTATTGTGTGTTAATTTTGCTAGACAGAATGATACTGCTTCATTGTGGTGTTATCTTGCTTGTTGGGATTTCGGGCATGCGTTTAAACATTCAGACTAATCAGTGCAATGTTTGTATGCTCCCTCGTAAATTACAGTGTATGCTTAAGTCCTGAAACAAGATGTTGAATTGTAGCTTGCTAGTTCTGAAACCTAACCTTGATAGGTTCCAAAGTTAATATCTCTTCGTAATAAAATCTATCCTGTAATATTTATTTGCTATGAAAACTATATTTGAATTTAAAAGCAACGTTCAATGTTTATTGTCTTTTTACTCTTACTCTTTAATTCAACAAAATAATAATATTCAAATGTATGCTTCATCTTCTGTCGGATTATCGCGTTTCTTTCTCACAAATTGTGTCGGTTGAATTAACTTGTTTTTCATATCCATATATGCCTTTCTGAATACCTATGATAAAGAAAAACAACAAAGATGTTTGTAGAAACAATCAGTGAATGGATGAAATTTTTGAATAATCATAAAATAACAGTCATCATTTACAAACTGTGACTTACTGCTCAACTAACTGGTGATGGTGCTGCATATAGCGAAATGGCAGTCAGCAGGATTTCTTCGTAATCTGAAGGCCCTGGTTCCGACCCTGTGAGGGTAAAGCGTGTGTACTTCTGAGGAGCCCTAGGATAGGAAGAGACAGCCTTCTACTACTCACTGGTCTTCAGCGGTTCTAATCTGACTTGAGACCAAACAAGTATGTTCGTTTAACATGCGATAATAAGTCGCTTCCAGCAGTAGCTGTAGTGTCCGCTGACAAGTGTTATTTTGTTGTTTCTGTCGGCTTGCAGATTCTAATGAGTCAACGGGATGCATTCATTGATACGACTGTCCCTTTAGATTATGTCGTATCACAAAGGTCGATTGACTAAGAAGAGCTGAGTGAAGTAACCTTTGCCGTAACGTTGGTCACAGAATGAAGTCATGCTGCCAATCGAAAGGCACGTAGTGGCGTTAATGATCACAAGGACTATTCTGGGGAGGAGAGGTTAGAAATTTTCAGTCTTCGAAAATATCCACTTCTTCTCTAACTCGACCGTATTTTTACACTTACCTACTGTCACTGACCCATTATACAACTAAAAAAATTCTATCGAAGTGCTTGACTTCAGAATTATGAAAAATTCAGAAATTGTTTTTTCCTTAACCAGACTTCATCTGTCATCCATTTAAATCAAGTAGCATAACGTCTGAATTGTGTGAGGTAATCAACATGTGATAACTTACAACTCGAAACTATTATTTAGACTAGTTTTCAGTTAAAGCCTCTACAGTGGTACAAGTAGGAGTATTTTGAAGATTCACCTTTTTTACTTGAGGTCTTCAGAAGATAATATTTTAAATCCCCTTCATTCGGGAAATTTCATGTCATTCGAAGTTGACCGGTAAGAGTAGAAATTGATAACAAACTAGTTTTACTTTTAACACAAACAATCAACTTTTGAATAACTTCGTTTCAAGGCAATATTTACCCGAGGATTACTACTCTTGTAAGTTAGGTAAATTTAAGAGCTCACGTGATGTCTGTATTTCAACATCTGTCTGGAATATTTGCCGTTATTATGCATTGATGACTAAGTTCCTTCAGTTGTGGAAACACATCCATCTAACGAATGTAAACAAACTCAAAAACTAGATGAAATGGGGCTCCCACCTTATTTCCTCTAGCTCGATAATAATAATGAAATGTTTGTCATGTTACGCACAGTCTCCTAGCCTAGTGACCACGAGCTCAAATCATTAGATCAGTACTTAAAACAAAATCATACGACGTTGCTGGCTATTCCACACTTTATATTGATATCTGTCCACTAAGATATCGTTTCTATTATTATTCCCTCGGGCTCTGAGTGGAACATAAGGCTTCAACAGCACATCTCCACTTATTCCTGTTCTCTACAGTCGTCTTCGGTTGGCCCCATGGTTGCCCATAAAGCTTCATCTCCTCCATGTCACGATTGGCTGCCTAACTCATCGGTTCCCACTTGAGGGTGTGACGCGCGATGTCACCTAACGGTCTTCTCAGTGTCTTTCTTCCACATATTTGTTGAGCGATACGTTCTTGATTGACCCGTCCCCAGAGTTTCCTGCTGCTAATTTTTTCTGGCCATCTTCAATATGGAGCAAGAAAAGGCAGCTGTTCATTAAAGTCTGAAGTAGCCTGCTGGAAATCATTTTCCTGATGTGCACGCCAAGTTTCTGACCCACATAGAAGCATAAATTGACTTAACGTTTTTTGTTGAAAATAGGAATTTTGTTGTTTATGCTGATTGCATTAGATTCCCAGACTGATTTCAGAATGATGAAAGTCTACCTTGCTTTCTCGATTTTGATTCATATTGATCTGAAATCAGTACTGTGGGAAATCTCACTCAACTACAGTTTCTTTCTTGTTGGCATTGGACAGTAGTCCTCCAGATGAACAACTCCAAGAATTGATGATTAATTCATTCTCAGTTTCACTAGTGTTTTTTTTCATCTGTTCGTTTTTCATTACGCTAATTAACCAAACATAAATAGATTAGTATTCAGTAGTTAGTTAGTTAGTCAGCTTAAAGGCTTTAATAATGCCTTGTGAAGGTTTCTTGATCTATCCAAGCCGCTTGATCAATTCGTAGAACTCATAGAACTTTAAGACCGGTGTTAATACTGAATATCAATGAAGGCTGAAAAGATTTTCTTCAGCATTTACTCACTAAGATACTTCGTCTTACGAAAGTCAAGAAAACCCTTAGTCACTGAATATATTTAATCCAGACACGCTCTGGTAAGAAGTACATGTAACCGGCGAAACATGTTATTACAGAGTTATCATTTTAAAAAGAACGAATTGACAAACAACCTTAATTCAGGCTTTGGCAATATTTACCTCTTATTGCACAATAATAATTCTCAGAATCATAACTAGCTGGAATAGTTAAAACTACTTTAACTCTTCTTATCGTCCTTTAATGTATTAGCATGAAATGAAGCCAGTGAAAATTGTACATAAGTCACATATTTGTCTGATTATTTATTGATTGTTTACTGTTAACCAATAATGACCTTGTAATTCGACTGAAAAGGAATTACGTATGTACTACCTTTTATTGATCAGTGCACAGATCTATTACCATTAGTATGATTACTATAAAAATGAAAAAAATGTGAATTTAAAAACCTTCAGCAATGTCTACTTGTAAAATAAATTATATGAAATCTAATCTAAGCTTTTCTAGATTACTAGTGTATGTGTGCAAACTGTTAATCGTGCACCTATGCCATAAAACTGAGATGCAGATATATTATTTAAGTTTTAATACTGCTTCTCTTGGTCTGGTTACCAGGCCCTACACTGGTTGATATGAGCGATATACAACAGTAGTATGTAGTTCTATGCAAAAATCACTTTGACTCATCTGAACAGAAATATAATCAGTCTCTTTTAGAATATAGACGGAGGATAATCATTGTAAATTATTAAAATTAATCCCAGCGTGTGAAGAAATTCAAAACGAGATTTTTCTGTACGTTTCGCTGTGTAAGCCACAGTTTCATCTGTTGAATGATAGATCAATCTGACTCGGCGCTCAAATTATTCTAGGAAGTTCGTAACACCTACGGTCTGGAAACTTATAGTCTTATTAAAAGAGGATAATCATTGTTTGAAATAAACTTTGAATTCACACTTCATTCTTCGTATTTGTAGGTGGCAGATGTTTGTGAGGAGTTGGTTGTCTTAACTAGGCGAAATCAACTTCACAACCATTGTATATTTTTAAAACTATTGGATGGTTCATCTTTCTTCACGAATACACACCTACAAACACTTACGTTCTACGTTCTCAACTTTAAGATCATCAGGGTTTAAGGTATACAAATCAAAAATCGCTTATTAGTGATAAAAATAAGATAATTACTAGATGCTATGTGTGAGAAAATTGTCTTCACATTGTATTTGTATGATTCCACTGACCACTTTGGAAAGTCTAACGTGGAAGTGTTTAAAGCTGAAATGACTCAATTGTTTGCTTGATTTTTAAGAGTTCAATGGTTTCTGTCAATCTTTGCTTATAACCACTTTGCGTTCTGTGTATTTCCTTCTTATATTTAATGTAGATAAATAATCTAATGCTTAGTAGTGACTAGATAGACTTTATGTAGTTCTGATGCTCACTCATGATTTACATGTGAATTAATTTGAGTATAAAAACAGTGATGCACTGACAATATTGGATTACAGTTGTGTTATTCCACAAATTAACTAGGCATACTAATATAAACTGCTGGACTTCCAACTAGTTGCTGATATTTTCAAATGATGTATTAGAGTCCCTAGTTCGATCTCCTGCAAGTCAATAGAATACACCAATGAAGAGTATTATAAGTGAAACTGTTTCAGTATGCGATGTCCACCCTCCTACTTGATGACGCTTCACAGTCCAAGGTGATGTATATGTCTGTCTGTCTGTCTGTTTTCGACATAGAACTTTGCACAAATGTGCGGAAGTTCAAGTCGCCACACTCCGTGTAGCACGCGAAGCAAGAGAAGAAAGTACAAGAAAAGCATAATAGAAACAGTGAGCAGAGGTGTGAGACAAAGGAGTAATAAAGAAAAACAAAACAGTTTCATTGAAGATCATAAGTCACAGGGAGTGGATGCATCTGCGCCACTGAGAACGGTTTTGAGCCATGTCACCAATTGTTTCCAACCATAGATTTTTACCGTCCCGAGGACCCCAGCCTGGAAGTCTACACCTTTCTACGTGGCTTAGACCAACTGTTGTGGATTTCATTGACTGATGCCAAGTTTTTGTTTGACCGCCGCTAGCTTTTTTCCAGCCTGACCCTATATCCGCTAACATAGCTCGTCGAGGGAGGCGATGGCTTGGCATACGTAACACATGTCCTAACCATCTCAGTCTTTGTAGCTTCACGACTTCGTCGATTGATTTCCCCTGTTTACCTAGAACTCGACGCCTAACCTCAATGTTGCTCACCTTATTATGCCACTTTACACGGGAAATAGAGCGCAGGCACCTATGATCAAAGACAGCTAGTCTTTTCATGTCTTCCACTCTCAGTGGCCAGGTCTCACAACCATAAAGGAGGACGGAGCGGACTGATGAGCAGTACACCCGCCCTTTGGTCGATAGTCGAACATCTCGTCTACGCCAGAGTCGGCGTAAACTGGCAAATGCGAAACGAGCCCCCTGTATTCGTGCTGAGATTTCGTCAGAGATCAACCCGTTGGGGCTGATGGTACTTCCCAAATAAGTGAAGCGGTCAACGTGCTCTACCACTTCACTTCCTATTTTTAAACTAGGCGTCGATGTAGTCCAGTCCTGTAACATCATCTTGCATTTGGCGGGAGCGAATCGCATGCCAAACATTCGTAGATTGCGGCTCAAGGTGTT